AGCAGCGATTTTGTACAGTAGACTCGTGCGCCCAAGAACTCGGTTTCAGAGGGCCAGCCAGCCTAGCAAAGTTCTTATTTTTCAGCGCCTTAGGCTACGGTCTTATTTTGCGTTCTTACGCGTCCAACATGACCCGTACCCGTGCTCATGTACAATGCACTTCGCGCTAAATGTACCGGTTGTACACTTTACATGCACGTGTAGTATGTAGCGCTGCACTGGGTGATGTTTTGCGCGAGGAGCCGACAAGAGTTTGTGGTTGCGGACTTGTTTTTCGTGTACTCGGACAAGATCATGAAGGTGCATTCCGCTTGCAAAACAAACCGGCGCTGCAATACTGTGACATACCCTGTTCAACTTGCAACTGCAATACGGTGACATACCCTGTTCAACTTGCAACTGCAATACTGTGACATACCCTGTTCAACTTGCAACTGCAATACTGTGACATACCCTGTTCAACTTGCAACTGCAATACTGTGACATACCCTGTTCGACTTGCAACTGCAATACTGTGACATATCCTGTTCAACTTGCAACTGCAATACTGTGACATACCCTGTTCAACTTGCAACTGCAATACTGTGACATACCCTGTTCAACTTGCAACTGCAATACTGTGACATACCCTGTTCAACTTGCAACTGCAATACTGTGACATATCCTGTTCAACTTGCAACTGCAATACTGTGACATACCCTGTTCAACTTGCAACTGCAATACTGTGACATACCCTGTTCGACTTGCAACTGCAATACTGTGACATACCCTGTTCAACTTGCAACTGCAATACTGTGACATACCCTGTTCAACTTGCAACTGCAATACTGTGACATACCCTGTTCGACTTGCAACTGCAATACTGTGACATACCCTGTTCAACTTGCAACTGCAATACTGTGACATACCCTGTTCAACTTGCAACTGCAATACTGTGACATACCCTGTTCGACTTGCAACTGCAATACTGTGACATACCCTGTTCAACTTGCAACTGCAATACTGTGACATACCCTGTTCAACTTGCAACTGCAATACTGTGACATACCCTGTTCGACTTGCAACTGCAATACTGTGACATACCCTGTTCAACTTGCAACTGCAATACTGTGACATACCCTGTTCGACTTGCAACTGCAATACTGCGAGCGGTCAAGTCGTTGACTGACGCTTCGTCAGAACAATCACTGTTCCGTTCTGCAAATGCTTCATTGTGCCACTGCAGAACTTTCATGAAAACCAGATGAATTCTACGGCATTACTGCATGGAGAGCGACCTACCACAAAGACGACTCATTTATCAAATGAAAGGAAATCTCTACAAAAGTTTTTCTTTGCAGCAAGATGATGAAAATCGCTTTTGCAGAGAGCCTCGGGGTAAAGCGTGATTCACAGAAGCTTTTTTGTGATGCGACACACGATGCGACGCGATCTGCAACGGACGCGTGCGATGCGAACTCGCGAAATACCATGAACCCTTTGCATGCTGAGCCCCTTTTCTCCAATCCACTGGCTTTCCAGCGCACTCACTCTCTTGGCGGAGTATGCACTCACAGCTCCGAACGAAGTTTATTCTCATTTCACTCCACCTCGATGGATTTTCATCGTCCTGGGCTCGTTGGGAAGATCAGGACCAAGCGAATCAATCCTGGCAGCTCTCAGCTCCATAGACACATCAGGGCAACTTCCACGTCCTCTCCAAACTACTCAACCGTGTCCCGGAATCGCACAACTCAATTTCACATTCTTGTTCGGCTTCTTGCCAAAATTCAACCGATGTTCACAATTCAAACTGCGCTGCAAAGCTGAGATCCAAGCGCTTTATTTGATGTCCATCACGCATGCGCCGTGCCAAAGGGAAATCCCCCGGCACGCTCCTCAACAAAAAGAAGTCATGAACAAAAAATTCGCCTTCACTCTGGACCTTGATTTCCGTGTTCATCTAGTCGCCGCTCAATGAATTCTTATCTTATCCCGAATTACTTTATATCCGCGGAAAGATGTGGTCAAGACCTTTCCAACGGTGTATTGATTGTCGCAATGCGTTTATGTTTGACGAAGTTACGAAAGTTTGTACACTGGTCTATGCACTGCGATATATCGCGCGAATATTTTGCGAGTTAACTCTTACGTAGTGGATCAGGTCATGCATAAAGCGCGAGTTAACTCGTACTCAGCACGCAAAGGGTTAACAGAAGAAGTCAGTGATGCGACAACATCTTGCTGATTTGGCTACGTCACCATGATATTCGCGCGGTTTGATACAACTTATACAATTTTTTTTATACGGCAACTCTTGAACCTTTGTACAACTTTGCTGTACAAAAGGTCAAAATCGTACGCAAAATCGCTTGTCGCATCGCACCGCAAAAGTTGAGCCAAGCTCAACTTCTGCGGTGGCCTGCGATGGCCCAGTTGCGGCAGTTGCATGGGGTGCGTCATGGCTGCGATTTGGGGTTTTCGCGGTTTCGCGCCTGTCGCATCGCGTGTCGCATCGCAAAAAAAGCTTCTGTGAATCCCGCTTGAGACATAGGCAGTTTGTAGGCATTACAGCCATTTCCGTACGCATTCGACCTTCATGCCAGTTTTCTACAACTATATTAACCTGAAAAAGACGAAAATAGTATGGACTCGCTGGGGTGGGCGTTTGCAGCGAAGTGGGCGTTTGCAGCGAAATGGGTTTTTGCAGCGAAATGGGTTTTTGCAGCGGACTTTACGGTACATTCTTACAGTATCATTATCACGATTTTTTTTGCCGTTTTTTGCCTTCCAACACGGGCCATCAATTTTTCCAGAATCAATTAAAGTACATGTCTCCTATAGTAGTACAGGTCTGACCACTTATGAAAAAATAAAAAAGTAATGCTCAGTGGTTAGAGCATCGCTGGCTACAAGCGAGGGTCCCTGGTTCGAGTCCTGGTGGTGACAGTCAATTTTTTCTTCAGACTTTTCCCGTTTATCTCTTTCCCTCAAAACCAGTTAATATTTAATGTACATTTATTGCGGATAATACGGTACACGTGAGCCTCCCAAGTTTGGTGGTGTGTGGCTTTGCGCCGTCATGTTGCAGTAAGGCCTGTATTCCCAATTGCCCTACTGGTCTCGTCCTCATCCAGTGATATTCGGCATTTTTGCTCCCTTGGGACATAGCTCATACTCATCTCACTGGCGCTTTCCTTCCGCTCTTTGGACCATACTGTCCAGAGCCTTTCAAGTCGGAAGGTTGTTGGTTTGCGCCCCGTAGCCGTGTTTGAGCTAGGTGCCAGGTCATTGACTGTCTCAGTACTCCTTGGTAGTTTTTGTGCCATGTCGTCACGCTTATTGACTGTGTGTGTACTTCAGAAGTACCATCTGATTACTTTGTAGACAGTTAGGTATAACTCGTGAAAGATTCCTATTGTATCCATGATTTCATTGGCTCACCATCTCTCTTCAGACCATCTCTCTTCAGACCATCTCTCTTCAGACCATCTCTCTTCAGACTATCTCTCTTCAGACTATCTCTGTTCAGACTATAATTTTCTTTCTCAAACCAAGAACACTTTGTGTTGTCTACTCATCTGATATTGTTTTGGTCCTGAGGATTTTATTCATAATTATGGTGGTCAACATACACCTGGCAATTTGGCGGTAAATACACGCCGAAAAGTAATTATACAACAGGCAGAAACGAGAAAAAAGGCTGTGAATACAGTTTAATGTCGAGCCAGACACGCCTGGACGAGGTCAATAGGCGCAAGGTCGAAGTGACGATGGTAAACAGAGCGTGATCCGCGGACGAAACGGATGACAGACTTGGTAAGATAAGATACCAAGCTGCACCCAAGCTACAACCCGGCTATAGGCAGCGTTGTGTTTGGTGGCCAAACTGTGCGCCAGCCTCTTGATTACCATGGCTGCTTCTGGGCCTATGCCCTCACAGGAGGAGAGGAGACTCATCTCAAAATTATTATACTTTTAGATACTTTTATCAGGAATTCATTGCTGGCGATAAGCGAATGTCCCTGGTTCAAGTCCAGGTGGTAACAGTCAATTTTTTCTTCAGACTTTTCTCATTCACGTCTTTCCCTCAAACCAGTGAATATGTTATGACCTGGGGCTCCCCGCTTGCTAGTTTGTACATGAAGTGTGTGGGTAAAGCAGTGTTTTATTATTCGTGTTATTATTTATTCTTCTTTGACTAGGGAATTCCCAACAGGCGACAGCGCCTTTTTACAGGGTGCCCTAGGTATAAATTGATGGACGGGCGAAAGTCAGCAGATGGCAGCAGTGTGGGCACCATGGGCGCTCAAGGTAAAGCAAACTCCCAGAAAGGACTAGCAAGTCCATTCAGACCGCGGTAAACAAATACATAGGTTTTGAAGTTGAGGAGTTTCTCGTGTTCCCAACTGGCCCATGGACGAGGTACGTTTGCGGTTTATGTGTGACCGAACAAGTGCGCAGGTTTTCACAAAAAAAGCAGTAATTCGACTCGTGTTTACGGGCTTCGATGCCTTTGAGTATTAATTTGTTCACCCCGCTGCTACACATCTGATTCATGCTGAAAATTCCAACACGTAGGAAAGTTCATTTCGGCGTGTTTCCGTACGCATGGCGCCCCAAAGGCCAGCAAAATATGCACAAAGCAGGGTTTCATGCGTACACGCGAAAGTTGTGAACACCACTTTACAGTGAGGACTGCGTCCCACCCGACTGTGTCGATTCACAGGAAGCGGGAGTTACGAAGTCTGAAGAAATTTTTGAGCGGCCTGTGCTGAGATGACGGCTACCCCATCACCTTAGTGATCAGTGCATCGCTGCTACCAGCGAGGGTCCCAGGTTCGAGTCCTGTTGGGGACAATCAATTTTTGCTCCAGGCATTTCCCGTTTACGTCTTTCCCCTCAAACCAGTAAATAATCCTAGCGTTTGTATTTCTTCTACAATGTTCGCCTACATATTAGAGAGCCTTGAAAGACATAAGTCACATACTAGACATTCGTGTAGTTAGAAGACTACTTACCGGGTTCCATAGGCCCGCCATGATGCCAAACTTTGAAATTGTTCGAAGACTCGGAAATTCGGTTTACGATAACCACTGCAACAGTAGAATTGCCGCTGATGGCGAAAGAAAGACAACAAATCCAGCAGCCGCGGAAATATAAGTGTAATGAACAAATCCAACTGTATTACTATCCACAACAGGTTACCTAGCAATATGATATTATCCAGCGCAAGAAAAACAACAGTTTCAATTACTGGGTGCTCGTCAAGACTGAAACCATACTACTTCCACACTGTGTTTTGTACTGCGACAAGGAATCGCCGGCTACATTGCATGCTTCATTTCAGGTACACCGGTACGCGGTGTACATGTACCAGGACATGTACGGTGGATTATACCAAGAGTCCATAAACAAGAGTATGCAACTGTGATCTCTTTTCTATGGGCCAGATGCGCGGCGCGCTGCCTTCATTACATCATTCAGCTGCAGTCCGCGCACTGCGGAAAATCAAACACCGCACTTTCCCTCCAGTTTGAAATGAACTTTCGTACCAGTCCATCCTCAAGCGTGCAAAAAACATATCTCTGCCACTAATCGAGACTTAGGGCGCGTTTGGTTGGTACCAGGGAGTCGTACTCTAACTAGGGAGGTGACACGGCACAGAAATCCGTGTCACAGGGGTTGACTCGCACCCGTGACCCCTCGTTGTTATTTTTGGAATAGTTCAGTCCAGTCCAGTCCGAAAGGTCATACTCGGATCGACTCGCCTTCTGTACTTCACCTCCAAGCGTGCAACGCGAGACCCGCAAAGTATGATTTTTCTGTGGGGAACGATTTTGCCATTGATCAAGTTTTTATTGGAGTGCTCAGGCATACTACGATTGCTGAGACGTCCCGAGCACGCTTGTTCAGGTTCTCTATCTTTGACGAGCCGGTCCTACAGCCCCCGTCATTGTATCTAACGACGTAGGAGCTGACAATGTAAGAGGATTTCCCTGGAAATAATGATGATGGTGGTGTGACTGCTGCAGGAAAAATGCTGGCTGTTTATGACAGTATGACTAGATGTACAATGTAGCTCTCTTGTATGGTACTTAACCCCTGCTATAAATGTGTTGTTTAGGAAGACTGGTGTATTGTGCAAGTCATAAAGAAGAAATGGGGCAGATACACGACTTACAATTTTCAAAAACCAGCTTCGTGCTATGTGCAATTTGGGTCAATTTTTAGTATTCGGATTAACCTAGGATACGACTCTGAACAGTTCTGAACAGTTACCGTAACACTACACGCCGTCTCATAACTGCTGCTGTTGCCATCACTGCTATCAATTAGTTCGGACATGGCAGGAGGTAAACAAATTGCTGGTAGTCTTTCAAAGAATACTGGCGATTGATGGGCTGTAAACGAAATGTGCTGCCTCAATAATTTCAAAAACTAGACACCCATACGGCACGCTTGGAGGTGAAGTACAGAAGGCGAGTCGATCCGAGTATGACCTTTCGGACTGGACTGGACTGAACTATTCCAAAAATAACAACGAGGGGTCACGGGTGCGAGTCAACCCCTGTGACACGAATTTCTGTGCCGTGTCACCTCCCTAGTTTGAGTACGACTCCCTGGTTGGTACGAACTAGAACAAGATTCACCAGAACAGCGCGTTTGGTTGGGACTGCACCTGTTCTGGGTCGGCCAGAACATGTTCTGCTTGCTCCGGCCTCGAGGCCGGAGCAGACCGAGCAGTTTCACTTTTTCACAGTGAAACCTGGCGGGAACATCGATTTTGGTCCCAAATGATCACGTGCATACGCTTTTGGGTTGGACTCGTTGTACCGTACAAAGTGACCATGGTGACCCAGCGAAAGGCTAAAGGGACAAGCTTATCTATTTTTGCGGATTTTCTTTCATAAAAAATAAACGTCACAGGCTGCTCTTCGGAGGTGTCCGCGTCCCAGCGGTCCGGGCAAGCGACCGCATCTCAGTGGGACACTTGTCCGTGGCCTTTGTACGAGGTGATTCGTAATTTTTTAACATTGAGTCATTTCTTAACAAATCGGTAAAATATCTCATTGCAAGCACCTGCAAAAAGTCACTTCAAATTTCTTTTTGCCATTGCCATTGCCAATGTTCTGTCAAGTTCGCCTCCAAAATTGAGACTGATATTCCTTCAGGAAGTGACATTGCAAGAGCTTTCAGTCTGCATGTGCGCGATGTTTACGGTAAAAATTAATAGAGTATAAGAGAGTCATAGCCGCTGGTTTCAACCTCGAGTGACAACATATTTAGCTGAATAGGAAGCATATGATAGTTACATACTGGAAACGACGCCTGGGAAGGAGGAATGTCGGTGTGTTGGCCCTAGTAATGGCCAAACATTGGCAATCACTGAATTTGCTAACAGATGTTGATCACAATTACACATGAAATCAGGGTGAAACACCTGTTGCTATGTAAGCTTGAATGGCTTGTATTTGGATGAACATGATCTTGATCCAGTCTTGCTGGACCATCTTGGAGACGTAGGGTCTCCTATTGAAAACTGACTTGAAATTGTGCTGCTAAGGCCTATTTTACCATGATGTTAAGAAATGACCACAACAAATAATATGCGGAAAAATTGCCATTTTTCAACTGCCACCTACTTCCCAACACCAAGGATTATGTGAATGAGAATCCCAACATTGCAATCCAAGGACATCAGTATTACATTTTTAGAGGACGAAATGGAAAGATTCACACCTCGAACCCTACGGAAGGCTATTTTACTTTCGTGTTAAATAATGACGAATCACCTCGTACTGGAATCTGTGGGAGAGCCTTTCCAGGGACTACACACCTGGGTACGGGGTACCGGGTATGGACAAATCCCTGGCGTGCGGGGCTCCTTTTTTGTTCCTTTCCTTTTTCTTTTTTTTTCTGAGAAAGAAACGTTGCTGGATGGAAAGCTTTCTGTTCCCGCCAGCGCCTTTGCTCTAGTAAAACATTGCTGGCTGATAATGGTCATTGCTCGTGCTGTCAACTTAGAAGGTGACGGGAAGCTGGGTTTCTTGCCATTTCCAACTTCCTGACTCTGAAAATGTAGCTTGAACTACTTGTAAGAGCTCCAAATATTTCAGTTTTTCGATGAGCCAGACCTATTGTTGCGACCTGCAGAGATGAGGAGCAAGTGAGGCGTTGGATTAATGCCAATGATGGTGTTTATGGCTCGGACGACGCCAGCGGTTTTCACTTGTCAGGAGGACAGCCAAGTTGGAGCAGGCAGATGACAGATTATTAACTTTGAGCATTTATAGCAGAGTGGGTGGCTTGCCAAAGAGAATCGTCTCAGTACTTCATGGTTACTAGTATCTGACAAATGCTTCTTATTGCTAGTCTGCACTAGAGCATTAGCAGAATTGATCATGTCACAAGTAGTGTCAAGACTTGATGTCCTACGATTATACTCAGATCATGTTGCTACTTCACGGGAATATTCGTCCTGCCACTGTACACTCTTCCAGAATTGCATGCAGAAGTCACATGCCTGTCACAGTGTGCAAGGGACAACGCGTTTGCACTGCTTACGGATTCAAGCGGATGGAGTGCAGACCAGATAAGAAGACATAATCCGGCTATTCAAATAGCTTGGGGTGCTAGACTCCTGGGAACATGGACAAGAATCTAAAACAGTCCACGGAAACAATATCACGCCACACAGGAAGCTAAATGGCAAACCAATCAAGTTCTTTGGTAGTGAAGCCGTTCACCAACATTGTCCGGTTGCATGGCTAATGTCACTCAAACAAGACCAATGGATGTCAGATGTACCTAAAAGATACGCTGTTGATCAACCACAACTCCAATACCACTGAGCAGCGTCTTCTATACAGATCCAATTAGATATTCAAGTATATGAGTGGAAGTTGCTGGTATAGTCTCTCCTAATGACCGCGTATTTGGCATAATGTTCTCTATACTACACTCTAGAGCTACTTACCTTTTCCGACATTGAACTCAGGCAGTGACCACTCGCCCGCAGAATGAGCCAATTGACACAGAAGCTAAGTACCATGTGCATCCGTCGCGAGAGAAACACGCAAGTCTGCAAGTGAAGTGGATGTACACCCACTGATTTTCTCTTATGCCAATATCAGACATGACCTGAGTGAAACGTATGAAGACTTGCACCACATTACTGCACAATTCCATAATTATAATTATTGCGAGGCCTTGTGAAATGATTCTCAATGCGCACCTGGTCTACACCACACGGAATACATCGGATTATAATCGCCAAAACAGCTGCCTATGTCTGTCTCTCTGTCTCTCTCTCTCTCTCTCTCTCTGTCTCTGTCTCTGTCTCTCTCTCTCTTTCTGTCTCTCTCTCTGTGTCTCTCTGTGTGTGTGTATGTGTCTCTCTCTCTCTCTCTCTCTCTCTCTCTCTCTCTCTCTCTCTCTCTCTCTCTCTCTCTCTCTCTCTCTACCTACCTATACCCAATCTGCGGACAGAACTGTTTCGTCCTTTGTGAACTCATCAGCGCAGCACAGAGAAAATGAGGCCGAACCTGATTGCAATGAAAATTTTTTTTCCAAAGCCAGATTTAATTTTCCACCTATCAACTCCCTTCTGTGTGTATGCGCGTGCATGGGTGCAGGGTATATGCGCACATATCTTTCTCTCTCTCTCTCTCTTCCGGTCTTTACCGGGTTTGTGAATCGGCTTTTTTTCAGCTCACTGTTTTATGAGTTCACCTCACTATATGTTTTTCTGCTGCTACCTACTTATATTATAGTAGTTGTCTGATGATCGTAGTAATATGTGAAACTCAAGAGTTGTGACACAGCTTCCAATCTCTCTTGTGTTCTTCGGTATTAGAAACACAAGGAACGAATATCTTGTATCTGTGTGTCTCAACATGTTTCTTCGTCTGTCTGTCTGTCTCTATTCTATCAATCTCTCTCTTCCTCTCTCTCTCTCTCACTCTCTCTCTCTCTCTCTCTCTCTCTCTCTCTGTATATATCTGTCGGTCTGTCTATCTCTTGTCTGTCTGTCTTTCTCCTTCTGCCTGTCTTTGGGAGTCTGCCTGTCTGTGTGCCTTCCGTCTGTCTATCTCTCGTCTGTCTGTCTTTCTCCTTCTGCCTGTCTTTGTCAGTCTGCCTGTCTGTGTGCCTCTATGTTTCTCTCTCTCTCTCTCTCTTTCTGTGTGTGTCTATGTGTTTCTCTGAGTCTTCGTCTCGTTCGTTCTATCTGCTTGTCTGTGTAACTCTCCAACTGTTTCCCTGTCTCGGTCTGTCTGTTTGCCTGTCTCTGCTTGTCTCTCTATGTTTGTCTGTCTGCCTGTCCCTG